TCCAGGGCATCCCCTTTCCCATTCCCTTTCCCACTCCCGTTCCTTTGCGACTCTGCCCCCTTTAGCCCCTTTTAGCCACTTCAACTGCGGTTTCATTAGCCGCGGTCTCTGTCAACTGTTGTTCTTCCTCCGCTCGTTGCCACTGGTTGGCTTCCTCTAATTTCGTTAAGTTTCGTTGCCACAACAGGAAACCGAGTGTGTGCCACAATTTTTTCCCATCCGCAGTTAATGCCTCCCCCGCCGAAGAGGCCAGTTTTAGCCACCACTGCACTCGAACAAAAGTTGTGGCATGGCCAAAAGTTGTATTTTCATGTAAAAGTGCCTTTTGGCGCTTGAAACGCTCAGTGCTTGGATAGCACAAATAACGTAATTAATATTTATAGAAGTCAAGATGGGAATATTTTCCTCAAGTGTAAATTGCGGCATCCTCCTTGCTCCCCTTGCTCCGCCTGGAAACATCTGCGTCTCGCTCCGCCGTCAAATGCAATTAACAAAACACGCTCCTAGCATAAAGTCATTAGTTATTCCATTTCATGAATATCCCTCTCTCGATTCGAACGCTTCGTTGGACATGTTTATGTGTGTGTGAGCCAGCTTGGAGCATATGCTGCGAGTGTGTGAGTGGAGGACGGGGATGGCGGGTTGGGGAAGGGGGCACTGTGTGACTTAAAGCCCTGACCATTGACCAAAACCAAGGTCCAAAACAAATGTACATAACAATATTATTGGTGGATTTTCGCAAAACGGCCGAGAGCATGCTTTAACTACAGCACCACCCCCTGGGGCACGCCACCTACCCCCACCCCCCTTCCCCTTCGGACAGCCCCTTCTCCCTGCGGATCCCCTGGAACCATCCAAGTCCTGGCTAAATTGCCATTCAGTGTTGTACACCGTCATTGGTGTTCGTTGTCCGGCGTCACGTTGTTTGCTTTCACCTCAAGCCAAGTTTGCGAATGTTTCCCGTGCCCCCGGTCGGAAACCCCATCCCATAGCACTCCCTACCATGCCACACCATGCCATCATACCATCCCATCCAGAGCCCCGATTCGCACACCCTTCAGCCGGAAAGCGTGTACGCCGGATAAACTTTTCGGCATGAGTTCTTATAGGCAAAAATGGGTTTTCAATACTCAAAGATTTATGAGTCTATGAATCTTGTACCCATGCATGTACCCAAGTGAGTGTCGGGGTGGGCACTGAGAAAAAAGTGATGTACGTGCAATAGCAAAAATGAGTCTCCATGGAAATTGCCCAACTTGAGAATAAAAATGTTTTCCTTTCACTCTTTAAGCGACCATGCGATATGGTAATTTAAAAATGGGATAAACGTTTTTTCCTCTGCATGGCCATGAGATACTAACACCCGCTCCTCCGCTCCTCCGCCCTGAGCACATTGCATAATCCTCGGCGAAGATCCCGGCCAGAACCGAAACGGAACCACTGGAGCGGCAGAAGAGTCTGAAGAGGCCAAAAGCAAACACCACAAATTAGTCGGCATATAACACGAACCGGTAAATGGCTAAGAAGTGAACGGGAGGGGGGCGGTGGGGCGGTGCGATTCGCCAGGAGAACAACAAATAGAAATCAAGTGAAATTCCTGGGCAAGCAAAGTTTTCCATTTCATTTTTCGGATTTTGCTCATCTATTTTTTCTTATTTTTTTTTTTCTTGCCTTTTGGATTCCCGAGCAAAGTTGGGGCAGCTGCCACATGGAACATGAATCAACACAGAAAGTCCTCAAAAGTTCTCGGGGATGATTTAATTAGAATTCTCGAAGATGTCACCCAGGGCTATGCCCCCAGTTCGGCCTGGCTTGGTTTAAGCCGCCGTTGGGCAACGTTTAATTATGAAATTTTCAAGGTGGCAAGTTGGTAGGTAGATAGGTGGATGGTGGATAGGTGGATAGGTTGGTGGGTTGGCAAGGCGACGGGGAGATGCAAAAGGGGGACCAGGGACTCCCCACCTCAAGGTATTTTGTGGTAGATTAGCCGGGCGTTCAATGTGTTGATGCGGCAGAGGCGTGGAATCCTGATTGGTGTCGGGTGTCGGGTTTCGGGTGTCGGATGCTGGCAACGATGTGATAAGTTAATTGAAATTAAATTTTAATTTCATGGGATAAAGTTGCCTTCGATGAGATTGCTTTTGGTGGGCGTTAAGGTGCCCCTCCAAGTCCATATGGAAACGAAACCAGCGGGTGGAGCGGAGTGGAGTGGAGTGGAGTGGAGTGGGGTGGGTGTGCATACGTCCGAGCGAAGAGCAATCAAAAAGAAATCCCCCGGGTCTATTAACAGAATCGTTTCATTTCCCTCTTAATGGACAACTCACATGTCACGCTGCCTCTAAGAAAACTCATTTATACATTATGTATACGCCATGTTGAACACACAAGTTTCAATCTACGTCGCAACGGAGTCCTTGAGCTCTGCTCGAGGATGTTAATTGGAGTCGTTGCTGCCACATCGAAACACCTTGGGTTTCCCAGGAAGCCAAACACTCGAACAATCAGAATACGCCCGGGGCTCCTGAGTTCAACATCAGTTTTAATTATACAAATGCAAATGCAAACGAATCCGTCCGAGTTTCCAGTTAAGTAAACGGCAGGAGCTTACGCTTTTCGCCAGAAATCGATTCCCCAATCATAACTACAAGTGGCTATAATCAGCTCGTCCGGCGGGCAATGATTTTAGCAATTGGCCAACCACTCGGACCTAAACCCATCGGTTATCGCTTGTCGGTTAAATGGCCAAGGGCACCCATGGTCCTGGCCATTAACTATGCAAATAATGTGCGGGATAAAGACAAAATCGCCACAAGATTAATGCTTATTGATTTTCCCGGCCAGCGATAATTTGTTGCCACGCCAAATTGGGCGACAGTCGACAGTCGAGCGGCACTGAGTGAATGCGATTTTTCTGGCTTACTTTTCTATTTCTGGGCAAAGCCATTCCACGAATTTGATAAGCCCCTTTTGGAATTTTTCAGGATCCCGTCCCCCAAAAAGTTTTTGTGGGTATTTGCATTATTAAGTACGCGCACCGCTCCCCCGATTTTCCGATCTCCTGGCGTTCGGTTGCTTTGTGGGAAATGCGAAATGGAAAATGGGAAATGGAGACGGGAGAATGGGTGACGGGTCGGTCATCCATTGAGCCGAAGGTGTCACATTGCCCGGATTTTCTTATCAGACATCAAAGGACACCTTGCGGTGCCACCGCTCCCAGATCGTTGCCATTGCAACCCGCAAACGAAAATTGTGCCAGGCCGAGGAGGAAGGGGAAAACTCAGTGCCAAGTTTACGCATCCCCAGGAATTTTGGCTCCAGCCGGGTTTCTAACTTTCAGGTTTGTATAAATATTTTCGCTGGCTTGTTTGTCTGGTTTCGTCTGTTTAGCATTTCGGAATATTAATTAAAACAAACTTTCGGGGAATGTGAGCATTATTAAAAAGAAAGCTTACGTGCACTGCCTTCTTTTTTGGCAATTTTTTGGCTCGTCAAATCGGTTTTTGCACTTCCAAATGGTACACAAGCAATCCGTTTTGTTATGGAAAAATCTTTTCAAGTAAAAAAGAGCTACATTTAAATGCTGCCAAGTTGGAAGTTTTTCGAGAAGGCAATTAAATGCGAATCCTTACAGATACTTGTATACTTGTATGGCAAAGTCTTAGCAACGACTAGAATCCGGTTATCAGCGCTTTTGACGCATCAATAGGAACTGAAAAAACATAATCGATTTTTGGGACATTTACTCAGTGTAAATGGGTAAGAAACCCTTACTGGGACCCGAAATTCTTGCATCTAAAGGAGGCGAATGTTGTCAACCGGAATTGAACGAAACTTAGGGGCAAATAATTTTTGTTTAATATTGATGAACGTGAAAGCGGCAAAGGAGCAGGCGAACCCGCCGGAAGCCGGTAAAAGTATCCGAAAATGTATTAGAAAAGGTCTATAATTCGGGCGTTTCGCAAAGAAGTCCTTGTTTCGGTCGAAAAGGAATCCCCAAATGGAAGCCCGCGGTCCTGGGCAGCATTACCTGGATTTACTTAGCGCAACTTCAAAGGACACTTGCTCCCGCGGGAAGTGGCGCCCCCCAATTCGTCCACCATTCGCCCGACTTCTTATTTACTCTTCATCTCTTTATTTCACCGAAATTAGCTGGAAGTGAAAACGAAAACGAAACCAAAACCGAAACCGAAGCTGCAAAGGCAACCGAAACTGAAACTAAACGAATATCGAGCGGCAACAAAGCGGCGCAACAAAAGCCATCGCCAAACGCAAAGCAGAGCAGGCCCAATCCCAAAAACCCGGCCAGACCGAAGTCAACCTACTTTTGGACGCAACAGACTACGCCAGAACCGAGCGAGTATCCTATATGTGCCATGTAAGTGCACAGGGAGAAAAGGCTACCGAGATTACTCTGCCAATATTTACTCAACCCCTTCTGCTCTGTTGTTTTGCGGCGCCATAAAATCCACAAATATTGTAATTCAATTAACAGAATTCACATTCCTTCAGATGCGGAAATGCTATTAAGTGATAATGTAAGATAAATAACAACGCCCTCCCCTTTGAAAAGGATGTGGATTTGGGGTTCTTGGGAGCCCATTGCCAATTTTCATTTGAGCTGTAGGGATTTGGGAAGACGTTGGAAAGCAGCTCAAAAATTGCAAACTTCAGCCCAACACAATGGGCTACAATCCTTTTTCAGTCCGAAACAAAGTGCTGCCTACTTGGCAGTAACCACTTTTTCTGCCCGTGCACGAGTTCATTCGGTATGCGCCCGGATGGGAGGCGTGGAGTGGGTTTTTTGGGCAGACGGGCGGAGGACGTGTGCATGGGGGACAATTGGGCGCCCTGCGGCGGATTATTGAATTTTCCAGCATTCTCCGCTGACACTTGGCGCCCAATGCGCTACCGCTTACCTACGGCTGCTGTTGCTCCGCTCCTTGTTGCTGCTGGCTTGCTCCTGCGGGCCGCCTTCCGCTGCTCCGGCGGCTGCTGCTTACCGATTCACTGGCGCTGACGAAAATTCCAATGGCATTTCGCATAATTTACATATCTCCGAGTGCTTAGGCCAAGCGGGCCAAATGCATTGGACACAGTGTACAGGAGTGCGTGTGTGTGTGTACCCGATTTTCCGTTTATTTTCCGAATTTCCGCACTTTTTCCACAGACCCAATTCTGGGCCGCTGGGCGAAAAATCAAAAACGGCGCGCGTGCCGTACCGCTTGTGATATCCAGTGATTTGACGGGCGAACCACGCACTTGCAACACGCGACACACGAGCACCGGGAATCGAGAGTCGAGAATCGGGGAACTGGGAACTGGGGGCTACAAAGTGGGTTTTTTGGGACACTCCGACGGATGCAGGGAGGGCGCACTGACAGGCGACGGGCGACGGGTGACGGGTGACGGGCGACAGCAACTAAGATGAATGTCAATAAAAATGATTCTGCTCTCCACTGCAGTTGGCTTTTTTCAGCTTCACCCCCGAATTCTCTCCTTGGCTTTCTGTTTTTCTCCCCGTTTTTTTCGGTCCGTGCCGAGTTACTGTGATTTAATTATGAATCCCAGACGAAAGTCCTGAGGATAGGAGCGCCGGGAAGTGGTTTTCTCGCCACGCGAAGAATCCGTACTGAAGATACAGATACGGACTGCGAATTGGCAAGTCAGAACTCGCCACAATTCATCTCGCAGCAGGGCTGCTGCGCAAAATCCGGCATCGTGCGCATGCGCCGCTCTCCCTCCGCTTTCTCTCGCTCTTTCTCGACTCTCTCCGCCTCTTCTCCCTGGTAAATATGTCTGTGTGCCACGCTCGTTGGAATGCTATAAAAAAGGAAACGTTAGAATGAAATGAAAATGTAGCATAATTTATGACTGCATCGTCTTTTAAATAATTGCACGCACACACACCTACGAACCTACACCCCGCTACACCCATCGCCTTAAATATTAACATCCACTCACCTAACGACCGCCCCCCAAACACCCGGAACTCCTAATGGCCATGTAAATATGCATTTTTATATTTAATACGGCTTTCTTAAAAGTCTTCCAAATTGGTCACGGGTCAATGGTATTTGGACGCTTCAGGAATAAAGGCGATACGAGCAGATTTACGAGGAAATTAGGTAAACAAATACTTGCACATCATGAGCAATTTGCCCAGCCGTATGCCCAAATGAATAATAATATCTTAGAACACTACTTCCTAACTTGGTATAGGAGATGAAGATCTTACAAAACGCCATCTCCCACAGCCATACTCAAATACAAGGGAGTGCATCTTTAGATAGTACTTTATTCAAGCTTATATATGATTTGTATAATATGAAATTGAACCCCACGAACTACTTATATTTGGCAATTTAATGTTGAATTTACCTTAATGTTAAACCACTTGATACGCAACTCTTCCTCATGTTTGGCCTCTTGTTAAGGCCACTCCATGAGTAATTGTTCATTATTGACCAGTTCAGATAGATGAAGGCCGATTTGAAATCAGTTCGTGTGCCTCTAGAGAACGCGTCGTTGTTGTCATTAGCTCATTAGTCATTAGCTTTTAGAACATGGAACTGGGTAACTGAGAGACTGGGAGCTTGTCATGCACTACTAGAGAATCAATGTTGGCGAGAGAGAATGTATGTTTCCCAATCAGAGTTCGACGTTGTTCAAGTTGGAGCCCGAGGAAGTGGGCAGATCGACGTCGCTGGGCGGAACAAAAGTGCCCATGGTTAGGACGCTCTCCTGCTTGGCGCACAGTTTCAGCATCTCGGATTTTAGTTTGTCCAGTATGGCGTAGTTGGGTTGATTAACTGCCGCCTTGCTCTGCAGCACGGTGATCTCCTGCTCCTCCAGCTTCTTCTCCTTGAAGGTCTTTATGGAATTGTTGCCATAGAGACGCAACAAGGAACCCCAGGTCTGGATGTGCGGATGGAGAATCTGACATGGGATTAACTTAAAAGTTATCGGGAAACGTAAGCAAAGAACCTATCACTGCTCACCTGAAGGATTGCTTGCGAAGCCAATTGCTTGCCCTCCCGCTTGTTTTTGCAGACCACTTTGGCAGTGTGTTTGCCCACGGTCATGGTAAACTCATTCTTGTTGTTTGCGGTGCGGTTGATCTCCTGGCTAATCTGAACATCGCTGCCGTAGTTGCGCTGCAAACAAGTTAGCAGAATGGCATTGGGAGAGGGCTCCGTCGTCTTATTGCAAAATTCGGTGACCCGGGGATCTTCGATGCGGATGTCATCGAAAACCTGCACGAAATTAATGAAAAGGAAGCCATTAATATGCGTTAATAAATTATATACAAATAAGAAATCATTGTATTCTATATAGTTAACTTGCTTACAGACAGATCGCTCTGAGCCTTTTTTGCAGTGCCGCTCTTTTGGTCCTTGTTGTTGCCCGTTATCTTGTCCTTGACATCGGGAATGAGTATTTCCAGCGTTTCACGAGCCGCCTCCGACTTGGCCTGCTTCTTGCTGGTGCCATAGCCCGTTCCATACTTGAGATTATTTACCGATACGGTGGCGGAGTAAGGTGTGGCTGCATTTTGGAGCTCCTTAAATTCATAAGTGGGCTGCGTTTTCAGAGCATGCTGCACATACTCGTGTAGGATGCAGACGAAGCTCTTGCCATTGGGATTCATGATCCACTCCTTCCGACCGCGCGGGTTTGTTGATCCCTCGCCAGCCGCCGCTAGTATTGGGAATTTAATAAGCTTAGTGCCATCCGGCAGCGTGGGTCGTTGGATATTCTTGATGTGCTTGCGGTTTTTGGTGAACTTGCGGCGAGCATTCCAACTCCGAAATCGCAGCACACGAATCACCTTGAATTTGAAGAGTTTCTGGCAGTAGGTGTTCAGCTGCTCTGGTGTTACGGATTCCTTTTGGGTATTCTCGTTAACCGTGACAATTTTGGCAGCTGGCATAAGGGCAGTTATGCCATCTGGTTGGGACTTGGGAACGGAGCTAACTTCGTTGTTCTCTTTTCCCTCCAAGTCCATGGGTTCAGCCGGTAAAGCGGCAGCTCCGGTCACAGGGCACACAGCCACTGGAGGCGCCCCATCTGTTTTTTGCTGCTCCACCTCCGACTCCTCCTCCAAAGCCCGCCTGTAGTTGAGACAGGGGATGGCTCCCAAGGGCACTGCATGCTTGCGGGCACTTCCAGTGCCAAGAAAATAGGGCCTCGATGCGCAACAGACGCGGGTTTTGCGGTGCAAGAAGAGCGGCATTCCGCTGTTGTGGGTCACCTGCACCCAACCCTCGGGTAGGACTTCAAAGTGGTTAAGGCGCTTTTCTGAAAAAGAGATCCCATGAAAATACTGGTCATCTTGGATACTTTGTTCGATGAAAACCACTGACCTTCTAGCACAGTCTTGAAACGCTGCTCGTACTTGGGCTGCTTTGACTCGCGGAGCTCGTCGGGCAGCTTCTCGTCCAGCAGGTTCTCGATCTCCTCATCATCAAATTCGGAGGAATCGTATTCTTCGCCGTCACCTTCGGCCGCCTCCTCCTCCTCGTCGCCTCCTTCTCCATACCTTCCACCCTGCTGCTCGCTAGCGTTGTCTGATTGCCATGTAAGGAGATACAATCACGGTATAGATAAGCTGTCTGTTTGTCTGGGAAATGGGAAACCAGCCGAGAAGTTAATCGCCCTCCTCACAGAATATTTGAATGGCAAGTTCACTGGTTGGCCCCCAATTGTCTAGCTCTTTAATGTTTAATTAAGAGGATGCCTCCCATTTCTGGCTCTACCTGACGTAGCTGGACAAGCCAGTCGGATAATGGGTATCATACGCATGGAGATATCCCCACAAAACTGCCACCACCTGCCTTACAAGAAGCTAAGGGAAAACTGAAGCTGCCATGTCGTGGTTTAACCTGCCGGCTGACTCATTTATCAGCCTCCTTTATTTGCACAATGATAGGCCCCAAGATCTTGAGATAAGAACTGCGTCTGCACTGTGAAACAAGAAGTGGTCATTGCACAGCCGATACATATGATAGCCTGTGATCTGGTATAATTTGAAGACCTGGGTGAATTGGGAATCATACCCTAGGTTCGTTTCCTACTCACCTGACTCATCCTCCTCATCGCTGCCAGAGCCGACTTCGTCGAGAACCTGGAACTGCCGGAGTTGCTGGTCCATGGGCTCGTTCTGGAGCTCGTTGTCCCGGGTCTGGCGCATTTCCTCGATGGCGCTCAGCGAAAAGCCGGCCACCTTGAGCTCCTGCTCCTCGTCCTCCAGCCGGGGTCGCTTGCGGACCTGCCCGGAATCCGGACACTCGGCCAGCGGCTTCTCAGCCATTGTGTTTTAAAGATGTATGTCTAAATCGGGAGAGGGTTTAGTGCGGACTGATCGGAACTGTCTAGTTATGCTGCCCCGGGGCCAATCTCGCCAATAACCAATACTGAGAGCATCCAACGCCTTGCAATTGATTTCTCATTGGAAGTGCCACATTGGTTAAGCCAGAAGCCCCGCCGGAAAATTCTGCGACTGCACTTTCGCGGATTGTAGACGTTGCTACTTGCTGCGTCTTTCGCGATGGATTCTGCCTAATCTGTTGGACAGAATCCCAAAGCAAAAGCAGCGCAATTCAAGTACGAATTCGAGATTTTAAAGAGAGGAAGTTATTTTGGGGGAAAATAACCAAACAAGCGATACAAACACCACATGCAGCTTTGCGGTAACAGATAAGCACTTATTGAATTGGGGTTAGTAGTGGTTCCGGGTATTAGCCTCCGGAGAAGTACGTTTAGTCTTAGGAGCTATAATTATTGCAGATATAAACACTTTTCTACTGCTTTTGCAAGGAATTTTGCAATTTAAAGACGCCCCCTAATTTATTTAGTGCAAAACAGTGTGACCAGGCGCAGGACTTTTTGAAATACTGGCTTTTCGCAAGCCGGCTATTTATTTTCGAATTCATTACTCACAAAAAGGGTGAGCAATTTAACGATATTTTCCATTTAAATACATTTTATGATGTAACAAAAAAGCCTGCAAAGGCATACCAACGTGGCCATTTTGTAATGAAAGTGTTCCTTTATAAAATATATAAAATCATTTATTATTTAACACAGCCATTTTTGCACATATTCTTTTTTCGATGAATATTAATAACTATTAATAGCTATTGATTTTCTTCTGATCTTCCCAGCTGACGCCCCCTAATTTATTTAGTGCAAAACAGTGTGACCAGGCGCAGAACTTTTTGAAATACTGGCTTTTCGCAAGCCGGCTATTTATTTTCGAATTCATTACTCACAAAAAGGGTAAGCAATTTAACGATCTTTTCAATTTAAATACATTTTATGATGTAACAAAAAAGCCTGCAAAGGCATACCAACGTGGCCATTTTGTAATGAAAGTGTTCCTTTATAAAATATATAAAATCATTTATTATTTAACACAGCCATTTTTGCACATATTCTTTTTTCGATGAATATTAATAGCTATTGATTTTCTTCTGATCTTCCCAGCTGACGCCCCCTAATTTATTTAGTGCAAAACAGTGTGACCAGGCGCAGAACTTTTTGAAATACTGACTTTTCGCAAGCCGGCTATTTATTTTCGAATTCATTACTCACAAAAAGGGTGAGCAATTTAACGATATTTTCCATTTAAATACATTTTATGATGTAACAAAAAAGCCTGCAAAGGCATACCAACGTGGCCATTTTGTAATGAAAGTGTTCCTTTATAAAATATATAAAATCATTTATTATTTAACACAGCCATTTTTGCACATATTCTGTTTTCGATGAAAATTAATAACTATAACTATTAATAGCTATTGATTTTCTTCTGATCTTCCCAGCTGAATTATTTGTTAACATTTTATTCATCTTAGGATACACATTTGGTAATTTATCTACATTTGGTAAATGGCCTAAACCATTGTCTGCATGCCATTATAAGCACTAAGGCAAATGATTCGTTTACGCAGTGACCTCCACGTCCAGTTCGACGGGATTATCCAGCGCCTCTTGCGCGCTTGATGCGTGGGCATGGCCCTTGGAGCGGCAGTGGGCTGCCAGGTGGGAGCGGCGAACGAAGGAGACTTTGCAGGACTCGCAGCTGAAAAAGATATGAAAAGAGATCAGGAGCCGTACTGAATTTCAAATAACCACGATCTTACTGGAACGCTCGCACTCCGCTGTGACTTAGCATGTGCGTCCGCAGTTTTCCGCTCATGGCAAAGCTTTTATCACAATCCTTGCACTTGAACGGCTTGACATTCGTATGGCGCCTGCAGGAAAGGAAAGTGGTCAGAAATTTATGAAATCCATTGAACTATATATGAATTGGAACAAGTTCTGCCGTACATGCGCTCGTGCTGGATGCGTCCGCTGGCGTTGCTGTAGGTTGCATCGCAGTAGCGGCACTGATACGGAGCAGTGCCCGCGTGCAGTGCTTGGTGGCGCCGCAAAAGTGTACCAGTGTAGAATTTCTGGGAGCACTGGTCGCAGGCGAAACTCTTCACGCCGGTGTGTCGAAGAAGGTGCAGCTTGAAGTTGCTGGGGCAGGAGAAGTGCCGGCCACACTGTTCGCATATGCACTCTCTCTTGCGTCGCTCCCGCTTCAGGGCCACCACTTCGTCCTCGGTGAGCCTGCCCCAATGGGTACGTGGTTTGAGGCGATCATGGGCCGGACTGTTGTCCGCAAACTTTACGGAGGGGAAGACTGTGGGCGTGGTCTTTACACTTCTGCGGAGCCTCTTCTCCTGCGCAGTACTCTTCAGCTCGAGCTGTTCGTTCTGCTCACATATTTGGAGCGGCTCTTCCGTCTCCGACAGCTGTTCCTCAGGTAGCATGTCTATAATCTCGACTTCGGTGACTTCTTCGGCGTACTGAGGCTCCTGCTCCACATCAACTACGACTGCTTCATTTAAGTCCATGACCCCCAAGTTGGGACTGTTTTGCAGTGTGTTCTGTGTGTTTATCACGCGTTCCCGAAAGGAAATCGCAACCTGCAGGTCCATTTCGCAGGGTGAGCAAATGGAGACGGGCAGCTCGAGCTCGTCCTCGGATCCGCCGAGCAACTATCCAACAATCCAGGCTTGAGTTTTAGGAACACATAAACATAGATAGGTACTCACAAACAAACCAGTTAAAGCCTCGATCTGGTGCAGCATCACGGAATCGGGCTCCCGGAAGAGATTCTTGGGCGTTGAACAGAAGATGAACTGCCCGCAAGTGCGGCAATAGCGATGCGGCATTTATTGACTTATTAACTTTAAGAAGAACCTTAAAAACAGAAAATGGCTCTGTTTTTCATATTATTGCTTACTGGGCGATGCCTGATTGGTCCAGCTGAGACGATATGGCAACGCTATCATAACAGCGTAAGGGGTATTCCAGAACAGACTTGGATATGATTTATAAGACAATGTCACTCCAACCTGCGTTTTCTGCATTATATTTAGTTATATATAAATGAAAAAATATTATCCTATTTGCAGTGCGTAGCATTTCTTACAGTGCAGATGCAGGAGGCCCCACTTAATTTGAACAGCTGATTTGTGTAAACAACCTGACAACAACTAATATTTGCAGGTCGCAGCATATTTTTAAGTCTCGCATCGTCAGGATGCATCTAAATGAGAACACCAAGATTCTGGGTCGCAGGGTCATCCTGGTGCCGTACGAGGCGCGCCACGTGCCCAAGTACCACGAGTGGATGAGCAACAAGACCCTGAGGGAGTTGACCGCCTCCGAGGAGCTGACTTTGGAAGAGGAGCACGAGATGCAAAGGAGTTGGCGGGAGGACGCCGACAAGCTCACCTTTATTGTCCTGGACGCGGAGATTTATTCGCGTGACCAGGATGAGGTTGCCGCCATGGTGGGCGACACCAATCTCTTCCTGCACCAAGATCCAGACAGCCAGCAACTAACGGCGGAGGCGGAAATCATGATTGCCGAACCGGATGCAAGAGGCAGGGGATTCGGCAGGGAAGCCATGCTCCTCATGCTGAAGTACGCCCAATCGCAGTCCCAGTTGAAACTGGATAAATTCGAGGTGAAGATCGACATGGATAACGCTGCATCCCTGCATTTGTTCAAGAGTTTTGCGTTCGTGGAGACGCGTCGAGTCGAAGTCTTTCACGAGGTCACCCTGGAGCGGCCCATCACTCCGGATTGGATAAACTGGCTGGGCCAACAGGTGGATCTGCGTACTCAAAGCTATCAGTGAAAGATTAATGATCGAAATTAGAAAATATCCTTTTAGAATCGTAATTTCACGGTCTGTTTATTACACTTATGTTACATCTACTTGTTTCGCTTGCCTTATTTATGTTGCATTTTACATCAAATGTATGTATTTATGGGTGCATCGATGTTTCTTTTTGTTTCGCCCTGTGGCTTGGATGATTGTAATGCTGTGTATGCTTGTAATTTGTAATTTGTAATTTTCGTGGCAGGAAATGGACAACAAACATTTGCCGCTTGCTCATTATCTCCGGAGTTGTGTATGTGTGTATATTTAAGTATAGTACATAAAACTAGATGCTTAGTGCTTTACAGCTGCATACTGCATACTTAAGACTTCTAAATTGTTTCAATTTTTTATAAAAATGATTATCAAATAATCAAAGGCAAACATAATCGTAATCAGAATTGCAAATGAAAAACAAAAATCCGCCAATATGTGCCGGATAGCTGCCGCTAAAACTGAGTCCTTAACATAGATGTGGGCCAATAATAAATACGGATTAGGCAGCGGCACGTGGGCCATCGATGGGCATGGCGTGAAGCACTTCGTCCAGCAGCTGCAGGGCGCGATGCAGATGCACCTCGATCCAGCAGGGCGTCTCTTTGATGGACTGGCGTGGGTAGTCAGGTCCCCAGCCCTTGACAAAGCTCAGGCGCAGGATGCACAGCCGGCGCAGATCGTCCACGCCAATTCCAGCCGCTGCTGTCATGCCTAGAACACCCCATTAACATATTAGTTGGCCATTAATCAAACTTATTCCATGAACTTACTCCTTCCGCCGCCGCCCATTTGCTGATTGGCCACTCCGGCCACGGCTGCCGCCTGAGCTGCGGCCGCTGCCTGCGCATTGGTCGCCAACGAGTGCATCTGCTGGTGGCACTGGCGCAGGTCAAACACCTGCATGGCAAATATTGTGTTAAAGTAATCGCATTGATTAGTAATTCCCTTGCTTGCACCAACCTTTATGCACGCGGCCGGATAAATCTTGTGCACAGCATCGCCAGGTGTGCGTCCTGCCTCGCGGTCCAGATAGTAGCTTTGTACGAAAACTGAGTTGTCACTTAGACAGCGCAGCCAGACGTCGCCCTCTCCACGCAGATCCAATTGTACGCCCTTGCCAATGTGCAGCCTGCATGGAACTCCGTAATTAGTCCCTGCTCTTCGGGTAACAGGCAGAGGGATGTACTCACCTGGCACGTTCCGATTGTTCGGTGCGATGAACATTGCTCAAGGCGCCCAGACAAAATCGATTGCCTCCAGAGGGATCCACATAGCCGTCGATGATTACGTTCGGTTTCGCCGAGGGCACCTTGAAGGTCTCGCCAACCTGCGTGTCCAGCTCGAAGTATGCGATGGAGCACCAGTATTCCGGCGGCGGCTGGCGAGACAGGAGGCGTGGTTGCTGCTGTTGCTGTTGCTGCTGCGGAGGCGTCTGCTGCGGGGAGCCGAGGTCACCCGAAAGCGACGAGTTCCCTGGAAAAAAAGAGGGATAGGGATTACAAAGTCGCTCAATGGGTTTTATAACATAGACTTACAGAATCCCCCTGGTAAAGAGCGCGGATCTGGTGGCTGCATAGACTGTGTGTAGGTAAGGGTGTTGGGTCCCGTCCAGGTGCCAGCCGCACCGCCTCCTCCGCCAGCTTGAGCCCCAGCAGATCCAGTATTGGCCTGCACTCCGGTCGGCGCCTGCTGCGGTTGTTGTGGGGTGGGTTGGGCTGTGCCAAAGACACCACCACCTCCAACGGGAGCACTGCCCGCGGATCCTGGCTGCGGCCCGTAGCCGTTTTGCTGGGCGTGGACGGACGGGGCAACCGAGGTGCCTCCGCCACCGGCACCTTGCATTTGACTTACAGGAGGTGGCTGTCCATAGTACTGCCCGCCAGTGGCTCCTCCGCCGCTGGCATTAACTGATCCATTGGGCACACCGCCTGGTTGCTGCTGTTGCTGTTGTTGTTGCTGCTGCTGTTGCATGGCCAGTGCGGTGGCGGGATCTGTGGGCGAAGTGGCCTGGTTATGATGCACCCCATTGCCCTGGGGATTCTGAGCCTGCTGCGGCGGGGGTGGGGGTGCCATCACGGGACCGGGATTCATTGGACCAGGCATGCCCGGCATACCGTGAGGTACAGCTGAAAGGTGAGTTTGCCAACAGATTAAAAAGTATTCAAGATCTATGTGAACTAAAAACTAATTGCTAATAGGACGAATAGTTTAAGAGTTTAAAATCCAACATATCAAATGAAATGAAATTTAATGGAAATTGAATTCCAGCCAAATCCTTACGGAGTGAGTGAGCAGCTGCCTGCGCTTGTGCCTGCTGCTGCTGCTGTGAGGGTTGCGGGGTTTGTTGCTGCGGCTGCTGTTGTTGTTGCGGGGGCTGACCCAGCCGGGGGGGAGGCGGCACCATCCAAGACCCACGCGACCCAGCCACTCCATCCTGGGGCTCGATTTTTGGTATTGTGCGCCCGGTGGGAAACATTGCACTCATGGGATTGGCATCGCCAACTACGCAAAGTCAACATAAAAGCCCCAAAAGGAAACAAATGTAAAAAAAATATGTTAAAACCAAAGAAATAAGCTAACGAAATATAAAATAAAGGAACAAATCACTTTAAAATGTTAAATAATAAAGGAAAATGATCGAAAAACGAAGTTTTCCAACTGAAACTAGTTCGACTTGATGTAAATAATGCAGCCTTACCATATTCGGAGGGACCCTGTGGATATCCGTAGCCGCCGGGCCCCACCATTTGCGTTGGGTGGTGCTGTATGGTGCCGATGTCGTTGCCATCTATGTCCATGCTGCCCACCAACGGGCCCGCTGAGTATTCGTCCTTCACCAGGCGACTGGGGCCGGACTGCAGGCTCAAGCCGGACAGGTCGATGCCCGGAGAGACGACGCGCTCGTAGTGGTAGGGATTCACGCACACCGAGTCGCACTTGAGATCGAAGGCGAAGGCGCAGTACTTGACGTGCTTCAGCTCGTTCTTGTGCAGGTCAGGCCAGCGCCAAATCCGAGCGTATATGACGTGCGGAAAGCCCTTGCGACCAGCAACCTTTTGAAAGAAAATGGTGAAGGTGTAAGTTCATTGAATTCTATTGCTAGCTATTGCACATTATGAAATCCAATGGAGAATCTCTGACATTCGCCTCCTTACCTGCAAGCGACCATCGAGGGTGCGCTGTATGGTCACGCACTTGCTGGGATGGGCTCCATTCGTGGTGATGGCCGTGATCAGGGAGTCCAGTTCGTCGCGCTTCTCCTTCAGCTTTTTGACCAGCGATTCGATGGCTCGCTTGGCAAATCCCTCGCTTTCGCCGCCCTGCCGATGGCACATCAGCGAGTGGACGATGCTCAGGCAGGCGTCCGCCGATGTGGGGGCGTTCGAGGGCGGCGGCGGCATTTGCACCATGTCCCGGACAATTACTGCGGATGGTGGGGGTAATTAGCTTGGAGTTTTGCTCAATACAATTTATATTTCTTTAGCTTTGATAACATGAAATTAACTAAATTACTTCGGTAGTTAGCTTCAAGCTTTCAACAATTTCAAATTTGTATTATTTTAAGCAAGATTTAAGAGAAGTAATATTGTCCACAATATGTTACTTGATTACAGATCGACTTTGGAAACTTCCTCTCAGGGACCCAACTTGGCTGGTGCCTCTGAAGCACTTGACTTACTGTCCTGCGGGGCTACGGCGCCGTACATGTGGGCGGGCGGACACGCCCCCGAGCCGCCGCCCATGCCAAAGTCCTGGGCGAGCGAGCCCAGAGTGCGAGCATGGGCATCCACGGCGGCGTTGTTGCTGGATCCGGATCCGGAATGGGGATCGGCAGTGGCGGAGTGCGGAGTGGGGGTCGGATGGGAGCTAGAGCAGGCGTAATCGAAGCCGGCGGCGGGTGAAAACAAGACGGAGAATCACAGGCCAAAGGAAAGCCAAACAAAGGCGGCACGCGAATGTGAGCACAAAACAAACGGCGGCTGGCTGGCTATGTGTAAGTGGGCTTGGGGGGTGTTGCTCACACTAACTCACACACACACGCGCACAACTAACAAAACTTGAACTCCCACAAAGTTGGCGTAATTTCCCTGCGAAAAACTCTCCTCTCCACCGTCTTCACCTCCTCCTTCTTCGCGCACACTGGCACACGCACAAGCAGCAGCAAGAAGTTTCCTGCTCAAATCCTTGCTTAAGACTTGTTTTTACTGTTTTTCGTGGAATTTCATAGTTTGCACTTAATTGGCTGCTTGGGAAACTCGAAAGTGCAATTTTCCGCCCGACGAAATCCAGTTTTCCACCCAATTTGCCTTTTTTCCTTCTTTATTTTGTTGCGGCTGTGTAGAGTGACCGTTTCGCGATACAACATCGGCGGGCGTTGCCAGATGGGCAATGCGCGAAATCCCCGCCGTGGATTTTTCCAAACATGTAGTTTGGTCAGTTCTCGAAGATTTAATTTGAGAATAAGTTTATATTTTTTGGAAAAAAGAAGCAAAGAAAGCAGATACTGATCAAAACGCAGAGGCATCCGGGTAAGTGCCATGAGATTTATTACACCAACTTACATTCATTGTGCGGACTGTTCTGTGCGTAAAACGAACTTTTTGAAAGGCCAAAAATCAATCGCCACGCGTTTTTTCCTTTTGCATGAGTATGTGTGTGTGTGACGAAATTGAGGAAAGTTTCTTATCTTTGAAATTGAGGAAAATCGAAGGTTGAATATCTTGTGCAACAAGTTAAATTGATGTTTTCGTATACCCATTGAAAAGTTTCACTGCCTTACTCTAATAGCTAAAATTCATTCATTCAAATTCTCGTCGATGTGTCCGTTTGTGTGACAGGTTGTTTCTAGAAGTGTGCGTGTGTGTGTAGGGAGCCTGAAATAGACCACCCCCTCCCCCTTCTTCGCCTAAAATGTTCACTTGGCAACAGTAACGAATTTTCTTTCAGCCGGAAATGCATTTCTCCGGCTTTCGTAAAATCATGTTGCTGCGTAGTTCCTTTGCTCAAAGTATCTTATCAAAACGCGTAATTTCATCGCTAATCTCTTTGGAATTTCGCCTTGCGGAGGGTACATACATATGTAAATATGTTTGAGTGTTTTTATTTTGGCAATGACATTGATTGTGAAATAATATGTAGGAAGTTTCCGTTGCCCTGCAAAAGTAAGGTTTTTCTATTTGGAATAGTTCGGGGACTCAACTGGTGCTCCGAAGATTTGTTATGTTTTAAACTCTGTTCAATTCCTTTAATCGCTTGTCCTAAAATTGTCCATACACTGCAATCAGAAGCATTAGACAATGTTATTTATTTATTTGCTATAAGGTTTGAATTGAAGTTGATTATTTGAATTATTGGCGGGTTTATTTGCCGTCGATAACATTACAGAGGTATGTTACTTAACAGAAAGTATTAAAGTATCCAATGCGATAGTAAGGAACATCGGTACTATCGTTTCCGCTGGATTTAGGGTATTTTTTAGTACCAATTTTTGGCACCATTTTGGTGAACACTGGTCGCTCACAAAATTCTTCATTCGAAAAAAACAACAAAGCGAGGAAGTACCGTTTTTGGCGAGCGCGAGTGTTTGAATGTGTTTGTTTGCTTAGAAATAGAAAATAGAAATTTGTAAGGACCAAGTGCGAAAATCGATGCTGTTCAAATGTACAAAGCTTTGCTAAAGCGCAATTAAGGAAAATCAGCAGGAGGAAAATGCACAGCTGATGGAGAAAAGTCCCAAGCACCTTCAGCCTAGTGTGTGTGGGAAAAATCGATCCGCAGACGGGAAAACCGAGGATAAAATGCCAGCCTAATAAACAGAGTTCCAATTGTGATACAAACGCAGTACAAATTAGTTAACAACTAGCTTAAATGGCCAACGACAAGGTTTTATAGCAAACTATCTGACGCAATAATTGAATAAGCGTATAAGCTGCCAGCCAATTTATTCACTTATTTTCGAGTGTAATAGAAGCAGAAATTCACAACTAAACAAGGTTCATCTCAACATTCCTGCGCAACACAAAAACAACAAAATGGCTGTAAAAACGTAAGAAAATGCTATATTTATTTAAGAGTGGAAAAGTCGATGAAATGCAAAAAGAGAATGAAGGTTTTTTCGTCATCCGTCAGATGATTTTGTTTGCAAGAAAAGAAAATATATTAGGCATACATACAAAATTCGTTCATTTACGTGTTTGTTTCGTTTCCATTTCGTTTCACAGCTGTTTGTCTGGTGTTTGTGTGTGTGTAAGCGAGAGAGTGGGTTTTGGGGTCCGCTATTCGTAGGCCGATGCTTACAGAGCGAGCGAGAGGGTCGGATGCGGGGTGGGCGGGGGAGCTATGCTGCTTGCAGTGGTATGTGTGTTTGAGGGGCTGTGCTTTTTATGCAAGCTGTACAACATACATTCGTAATGTTTGTAAGTGCGTACATTACTGTTTCCTAAGCACCTCCCCATTCGCCTGGAAAATCTATTCCTATTGCCTCCCCCAATTTGCATATCTGTTTTATTTCCAATTTGCGTCAATTGTTTTACTTAACAGTACCCTCTTTTCCTTTGTTGTTCTCCCCACAATCAGTGTGTTTCAATTCCAAAGTTCCCTTACTAGCGCACACAAACGCGAGCTGCAAACAAAGACTTTGTATGTGTGTAGTGTTCCCATTCGGATTTTTACCTCATACACACACACACACACACACCATCACAGCAACTTGATTGGTTTGGGAGTGTGCGTGCACAGGCTTGGAATTGCGTCAGCCAAAAATAAAATATGTGCGACGGATAAAACTACTTGTTTCAAAAACACTTTTGCTTATATTAAGAAGCAACTTGTTTCTGGAAAATACAATTAACAACTGTTATTGCATTCCGTTTTGTACCTCGTTTCTCCTGATTTCACCTTCAGCGCCTTCAGTTTGTTTTCTGGGTCATATTTGTTGATTTCAATTTGTTGCGCAGTCGCAAACTCGCGCAGAATTGCTTAATTTGTTGATTTTCATATTTTCCATAGCCTCCAAAATAAAATATATACAACGCATAAAACGACCCCACGCACGTATACTAATGAAATAGTTAGGTTGGTGTGGCTGTGTGGGTGTTGCTGCTATACCGTTGTTTTATTTATTCCTCTTCACACTTGTTTACATGTGAAAAGGTCTCTTCTATTCTCTGCCCACCTTCTTTGCGGAATGAAAGAGAAGAAACGGGTGAGGAAGGGGAGAATTCAGCATTAACCCTTAGCTGACCAATGTTCAACTACATATTTGGGTCACTTTTACTAAAGGAAGCACTTTTGGACTGAAGAGATTAATTTTCAATTTCAGTTTAAAAGTACATCATTCATTGTTGTATTCCCTCAAAGTCACTGGACCAAATGATCATTCTAAGGCTAAATACTCCGAAATTCAGCTGACATCTATTGGCGCCTCGTAGCAGAAACCGTCTGCTTTCTACTACCTGTTTTCTTCGATTTCAGTGTGCCATGAAATTCGTGCGTCTGCAAAAACGACAGACGGCCCAAAGTGAAATTCAATGCCAAAACCCACTTGAGCGACAGCTGACCATCCCAAAAAGCCATGTACCCCGATTCCCCTTCCCGGAGATTCAAAGCCGCCCAGAAAAGCACTCAACTGAACCGATTTCAGCCCCACCCTCCGACATTCCCTCTTTTGAAGCTCGTGCCAGGCGACTTTTCCAGTCCCACCCTTTCCTAATTCAATTTCACGAAAGGTGACGAAATAAATCCCATAGTCCCGACTGCAGCTGCCCTTTTGTTCTTTTTGCACCGCAGCTGCCCCTCTGTTGGCATTTCTATGGGTTCTCTGACAATGGCGATAAGATCGAACAGCTTTATCGAACCTCGTACTTACGTCATGGAATGTTACGAAATGTCCGCCTCTTCTCTGATAAGCGAATCCCCCGGTCTATATGTCATCACTGGAATTGCAGTGTATCAGTGTATCGGGCAGCTATCTAAATGTCAGTCTAAAACCTTGGATATAGTACGCGTGTATGGCGAGTACAGCTGTAATTGAGCCCTGCCATATCTCGAGGCTAGCAATTACGGCGATAAGCACAAAACCGTCTATAGGGAGGAAATGTTCTGCAATTATGCATAGCAAATTCCCTGCGGAGGAGGGCTTCTCTGGGAATCCTCTTGCACTTAGAGAGTAATCACAGCGAATTCTCTATGGCTTACATTTCCTTATTCAAAGCTAAAACTTTCCAAACCAAAACAAGTTCGGAGAGCATGAACAGCCAGCTCTTCCGAAGAATGAATCATTAGACCACTGTCTTTCTGTTCAGTCATACGAGTATGTACTAAAAGCACCAACTAGCTGGTGTTACGCGTCCGTCCATTTGTTATTTTGGGACTTTGAACTACTACTGCGTTCTCCACGATTAGCACTCGCTTATCATTCCTTTGGACACGCTCCTCAGACGTTCAGCCGCCGCTCCAGTGACTTCGACTTAGGGCACGTTCTCTTCACGTCAGGGAAATTCTTCTACTGCATTTCCGTTGATAATAAAAAGTGCGCGGGGGCTTGAGTGCACTGCAATTTGGAAATTGCCTATTGGTCGAGTCACACGATAGGCTGATAATGGGTGAATGCAAATCGCCAGTCCATTGACAGATAGACGCCCAGAGCGACAGACTGAGAGCACTGATAATGTTGATTCTAAAACATAGGAAGCTACGGGAGATCACTGGAAAACAGGCTTGGCAAAGGTCGATCGTGCGATAGGGTGGTACTATTACCAAATCCAACAAAGCCCAGTACAATGATCTCTCCTGTGCATTTCTACTGTTGTTTTCGTTCGGGGTCTTTTTCCTTAGTGTACCGAGTTTCCGAAACACAGAGTTTCCTTTGTTCGCTGGAGATATTGGGAGACACTTTTCCCCGTATCGTATCTTTTCCAGCACATGCCAATGCAGCTGCTGCAAGATCTTTTCGTTCAGTTTCCCCGCCACTTGTGCCGGGTCATTTGGGCTATTCAAATTCCGAGCTCTGGCTGTCAGCAGGGTGGATTTGAATGCTTTTTGGGGTTGCTCAGTGGAGTAGAGCCACCCCTGAGTCAACTGGCTGGGCAATTTCCTTCTTCCATCCGTTAATTATAAGCCGCGACAAAGTCATAGCTGCGTACACCTCTTTCGCACTCGATAAAGTCGAACTGCTTCAGGTTCCTTAGGGGTTGACAACGTTTTTTGGCTTCGTTCAGGTTGTTTTAAACAGGAAACATCGAAGGAGAGAAGTTTCAGGGAGAAATGTTCATGTTGGCGCCTAAACTGAAGGTTGCATCCCTCAGCTATGATGAAATTGCAGCCACATCCTGAAGATTGTATGGTGAAAACTATAGGAAAACAATCGAAATTCGAAATACAGCCGAGCACTTGCCCACGGTCTTTCTACCATTTAAAGCCTGTCTCTGGTCACGTTTTCATTTCTCCCATGAAAAGCTGGTCTTTATATGGTCTCTCTGGCCATCTCTTTCCCGCAATCTGCAGCGATCTCACTCTCTCTTCGGCTGTCATTTGTTGACCTTCATCATTCGATGACGATGATAAATGAACGATTCATTCGTTCGCTCAAAGTAAAAAAAAGCCAAGTAAACGGAAAGCAAAGCAAGGCGTACAAATTAAAAACAATTTCCTACGATCATATGTTTGCAGTGGAAGTATTCCGCTTTTGGTTAGGCCTTTGTTTACGATCCAAACTTTCGACTTGGAAACGCATCTTTTTATCTTTCGGCCACACCTGTAGCTTAACTTTCAATTGCAGTCGAGGGATTTACGGACTAGATAAAAACAAAGAGAAGCCTCGAAAATATTTCGCACCTGCCTGTCTGCCTAGGTAGTGGCCACGCCCTCCGCCGCCTTCCGCCTGTTACGAAAATAGGTAGAAAGTGAAATTTTTGTGCGCTTCTGCTGGTATTTTTAACAACAACATTAAAAATATGGCTACACAGATACTCCTTGCATATTTGTGTGCGTACGTGCTTTTTGCGTCAGCGGAGCGCGCGCCAAAAAAAAATAAACAGACGACTAAAGACAACCAGTCAAACGAAAAAATAAGAAACAATTCAGTTGAGAAATCTGGCATACATATGTACATACAACCACCTTGGGTACAACTGCATTTGAGCAGAAAGCCTTGGTAGAGATCAAAAGTGCGATAACTTTTTGTCTAGTTCAAAGTTTGTATCACAAAAGCTGCGAGTAATAATAACGACCGCCTTTGTTCTCGCTCTGTCTTCACTGTACGGTGGAACCACAAACGGGCTGAATTTTATAGTAACTCCAGGGAAAAACAATCGTCTGATGTTATCAAATTATCTTAGTATTCTAAATCTAATCGCGTGTTCTTTTATTGCAACAACAAATATGAAAGTTTATGAACAAATAATTTTTGTACTGTGTACACTTTCGACCTATGTTGCCCATTGAAATGCTTTTGTTCATTGTTTTTATGCTCAGCAAAGCATAAAGTTGAACTCTAACCTCTCTGCCCTACCGTTATCGCTGCCTTGCGGCAGAAGCTTTTTTCTAAATTTACTTTAAAGCTCTTTAAGCCGCGATCTCAGTATTTCTTCTCCGTGCTTGCTCAGCAGCTTTGAGCCGAAAACTTTGGTGGATCTCCCCCGGACCCTTGAAACGCGTTTTGGTGGGTGGGCGACCTTGAATTGCGGGCCCAAAGCTAGTTTCATTCGGCTATTGCTTTTGGCTGTTTTCGTCTGGGTCCTATAAATAGAACTGATCAAGAGAAACCCACAAAACGGAAGTCTGCTGCCAATGCCCAAATATTTCTGGGGCCACTTTCAATGGCGTCACATACGCTCCCTGTGTGTCACATAACCCGCATCTGATTCATGGCTATAGTGGCGCATTGAAAGATGATTCAGGGCGCGGTCGAATGTTTCGATGTTCTCTGACCTGATTGTGATTAAAAGCCAGAGTCATCGAATTCGGATTCTCAAAGTCCGACTCACCACTACAAGATTGGCATATGGGCTTGGATTGCCTAAAAACGCAACTCGATAAAGTGCGTTTTTAGTATCCGAGGTTTGCCAGTAAAGATGTATTTTTATTTCGGATTTCTACACTCGTACTTGCTTTCAGCTGCTGTTTGTTTTGCTAATAAGCAGCCTTGTTTATCTGGTTTGCCATGAAGCAGGTTAAACGCCTTGTGGCTACTTAGCTATGCAGATTGAGGACGATCGAAATGCTATAGCAGACGAAACCCTTGGCGCCACTGGCTCAGGGGCAGCTAATTCTTGTGATTGCCAGCAGTTCAATTTCCTCCTTGTTGCGCTTCTAAAAATAACAAAGCGATCCCTCATCACTGCCAGATACTTGGAATCTTTTGACTAACCAAGCACATCTGGAGCCAATTGTCGGGGCTTTATTTACCATCGCCTTTTGGTAGTTTCTCGAGTGTTTGGCATAGCTGGGTTTATGTCATCTATCAGCGGATTGTTTACACCATGTGAAGTTTTTGTTTTGGTTTCCGAAGGAGGAGAAAGCATTAAAAGGCAGGCAGCAATCTCTGGATTTTCCTCGGGTCCAACTAAACTAGCACACAATATGGCGATGTTTGCCCAAGTGTTTAGATGTAGATTGGTTTCCTCTGTCGGGCTTTGCGTTTGCTCAAGTTTTAATCGTGCGCTTTTGGGAACAGCTCTTGTCTGGCGGAAGTGTGAAGTGATATAAAAGTACTCAGGCACTGAAGTTGTGCCGATCTAATGTGTTGTTTACTCATTCGAGATTGTTTGCTATTTGCTGTGGATTCCACAGGAGTGGAATAAATTCGATTAGGAAAGTTTTGAAAGGCTATTTAGTTCTGGATTTGTTATTATACTCGGCGAACTTGTTGGTCTATTTCAAGTACCTAACATCCAAAGCAGCGAGGTCGTTTATCAAACGTATCTGAATAATTAAGATCAAAGTATGTCTGCTGTCCGATTCTATTTATGCTTTGATGAGTAGATCTTACCTCGATCTCGATCTATTTACGTGGTTCGCCTTGGGCGCTACATCGAATCCCAGAGCAGACCCCTCCTTCCCATAAGAGAACCTTGTAACCGAGCGATTTGAATAAAATGTGTCACTGACTGAGGTCGGTTGCTCGATTTGAGCAGAGCGCTGCTCAAAATAAAACGTATTCCAATGCCATCGTGTTTATTGCGTATTGCTCCATTGGACGAGCGCCGCACGGCGCATTTGTTTCACTGTACAGGTGTTTTTCAGCTGTGGCCAAAAAGTTCGTTTAACGCACTGAACATGGTGTATTTCGAAAAAGCACAAAAAGGGCGAACGAGTGCAATGCACTTGCACACAATCAATTAATTTGCATGCCATCCAACCATTGACTTTATTTTGAAACACTGTAATAATATTTGAATTTCTCTGTGCCCCACACAAACCACTTTTGCAGCTCGTAAGTTTTATTTGAATTTAGCCAAACCAAAAACCAAGCATACAAAGCTATTATTAAAGCTGAAAAGCAAATAGGCAAGCGCAAGAGTTTATTATCGTGAAAGGCACTGAGCGAACACTTAATAAACCATCATTTTAGCGCTTTGCACAGGAACTCACTTGGTTTTGAGTTTCTGAACACATTTTCCTTTTCATTAGCGCGGCAATTGTGAGATCAGCGTACGCCAGACAAACCAAAAGTCGACTTATAGCCTATATAGACATAGCTATTGTCGAATTGTCCTTTGGTACACTGCCCGCAATTCTGTCGTCGTCTAATACGAATTACCATTGTAGAGGGTGTCTTTTGTTTGTTTCCCGTTTGCCAATCGTTGAAAGAATTGCATTAAGGTCACTGAACTGCTGGCGTTACTGAAAACCAGCCAGAGTTTTTCGAAAAGCAAAATCTCTGAGTTCTGCGACCGGTGTGTGCAGCACAAGTAGCAAACAGATTAGTTTTATTTTCGGTGGCGTTTCGATAGAGAGTTCCAGTGGTCTTTTTTGGACTCCCTGAAGCGCAAGTTGATGACCAACACGGATCTTGAGCGAAAGATTGAGAGTTTCTTCGTACAAACTCGTTGATATCGGCCCAATTGGGAAGTCTGAGATCCGCGTTTAGCTGAAAATAAAAGCAAACAAAATTTGCCAAGGACTGCGAGAACGAAAGGACGAATTCCGCTCCTTTCCACTTCTCCTCCTTGCGATTTTATCTGGGCCTAGTTTTCTTTTTGCACTTTCCCGACACTTTTTGCCAGCAAAGAGTGTTGTTTGTTTAAATTACAACCTTGAAAACCACAACAGGTACTAGGCCAGCCCTCACAATGTCTGTCCCTGTACGCTACTCCTCTGCTGCCGCCGAATACGCCGCCGAAGTTGATTGTGAGTTGGAGAGCACTCTGCAACAGCAGCAACAGTTGCACTTGCAACAGCAATACGAGCAATACCAGCAATACCAGCAGTACCAGTACCAACGGGAGCAGGATATCGCCTACTATTGCCAGTTGCAGGCGGCGCGGCAGCAGGAGCAGTTGATGCAGCAGAGGACATCGATGTCGTCGTCGGTTATGCCAGGCCTAAACTTGCCCCAGGATCACCAGGACCACCCAGCCGCCCTTTTGAACGGACCCCACAACAACAACATCGGACTCGCCATGGACGCCCACAGCATCAACGCCATTCTGGTCGACGACGAGCAGCCCTCGACTTCGGCCCAGGCTGCCGCCGCTGCTGCCGCATCCGCGTGTGGATCTGCTGCTGGACCGGGACCGGGACTGGGATCGGGATCGGGATTGGGTGGTGCCATCGGTGGGGGCAAGCTGGCCAACGGCATTAACCGCAATGCAGAGATGCCAACTGATTGGATGAGGATTGCGGACGAGGGCCGGTATGGGACACCGGGTGCTGCTGGCTTGGAGTATCAGAAGTACGAACAACAACAACAACTCGAGGATCTGGCGGAGGCCGAGGCAGGAGCCGTCGGTGGAGCCAGCAACAACAACGGCGAGTCGTCTTCGTCCTTAAAAAAGCTGGAGGATCAGTTGCACGCCCTCACCTCGGACGAGTTGTACGAAACCCTCAAGGAGTACGACGTCCTGCAGGACAAGTTCCACACGGTGCTGCTGTTGCCCAAGGAATCGAGGGTGAGTCTAGTGAGCTGCTTGGCTTTCAAACTCAAAACCAACTTACTATGTATTTCTTCTGTAGCGTGAGGTTACTGCCGGAGGTCGAGATGGATCCGCTTACGTGCTGCGCTGCCTAAAGATGTGGTACGAGCTTCCCTCCGACGTCCTGTTTTCGGCCATGAGCCTGGTGGACCGCTTCCTGGATCGCATGGCTGTCAAGCCGAAGCACATGGCCTGTATGAGCGTGGCCTCGTTCCACTTGGCCATCAAGCAGCTGGACTTGAAGCCCATTCCCGCCGAGGATCTGGTTACAATATCTCAGGTGTGTGATTGGAAATCCTTTTGATTTCGCAGGAGGGTGCTTATTTTGTTCTTTTTTTTTTTTTTTTTTTCAGTGTGGTTGTACCGCTGGTGATCTGGAACGCATGGCCGGCGTGATTGCCAACAAGCTGGGCGTCCAGATGGGACATGCACCGATCACTTCTGTGAGCTACCTGCGCATCTACTACGCCCTCTTCCGCAACTTGGCGAAGGAGATCGGCGGCGACTTCTTCAAGTTCTACCAGCAGCTCATCAAGCTGGAGGAACTGGAGAACCGCCTGGAGATCCTGATGTGCGACGTGAAGACCACGGTGATTACGCCCTCGACGCTGGCGCTGGTGCTCATCTGCCTGCACCTGGACTTCCACATCAAGGAGTCGTACACCCGCGGCAGTCCGGAGCTCAAGCACGTCTTCGAGTACATTCTCTTCCTGCAGCAGTACATGAGGGTGAGTTTGATTGGGAACTCGACCTCTAACTTGAACCTTTCTAATCTTCTTATGTTTCGTGTTCCCCGCAGATTCCTGATCGCGTTTTCACCTGCGGCTTCAGCATCGTTTCGGGCATTCTGTCTCACTACAACGGACAGAACAAGGCGCCCTACAAGCAGCGGCTAGTCTGGAAGCTGTCCAGTCGCACGCTGCGCGTCTTGCGCCCGATCAACCGCTTCTCCTCCGACCTGCCCACCATTGAGGAAGGCATCCCCAATGCCCTCGACGATGGCCTGCGTTCTAGGTGAGTCTGCGATCTGTTGTGTATTGATAACTATTTAAATGGACGTTATGGAAACTGGACAGAAATGTAATAGTTATAAAGGTGATAACCGCCCCGAACTGCAATCTCAAACGGGGTACTTTTCCAAATCTAATTGTAAATGCGGCCATAAAACTTTGCGGCCTGGATCACCGGTCTTTATTTTTAGTGAATTTTGACATAGCCAACACGCGCATATATAATCTCGAATGTAAGCAAATGTGCCGATGACGATCTGAACTTTTTGGCGTAAACAAGTTTCTAGAATATTAGCGATTCCATTATCAGCCATAGCGGCAACAACACAATTGTCATGAGACTGACTGGCTCGCCCACCGACCGCCCGCCTCCTCTTCAAACCGCCCATTTTATATGCGTGTTTGTGTGGCTATTTGTTTTTTATTTCGCTGCCTTGTTTTTGCCTTTTTTTCGGCAACAATCTTATCGTTTCCAAATACCCGCTAGACGCAACAACAAAATACACGCACGTAGACCTCGACGAGGGTCGCAGAAAGAGTATTCGCTTATGCAAAATCTATACATATATCTGTGGGGTATATACCCGACTACCTATATTCCTATATCTTGGCCAGCTGTTGTGCGTCCTTGAATTGTCACATTGAACTGAGATGTCCATGTTCAATGTCATTGAATTTCTATTTCAGCCCATTGGTTTTCTTTATTTCCTAGCTTTCTACCTAATTGCTATCTTATCGTTGATGCTGTTTTCTATGGTTTGGGCGCTGCTTCGAAAAGTTAGTCATAAACATTCGGAAAGTTCAATGCACTGTGCCCCGAACTTTGTGTTCCAGTTGCACCTGAGCAAAGGCTTGCGTATTATCAGCTGATGTTCGGGGCCTTAATTGGGAAAGGGGCCTTCAACTTGAACTCGTTCTGTTAATTGATGTCCGATTGTTACGAAAAGGTAGTCGCCTTGAAAACGGGCGTATTAGGGGGCTATAGTTACTTAACAAATGCATGATAAATCACTTTTACTTCTCTGATAAAAAGCTTGACTGGTCTATCCACTTCGAATGATAAGTTTTATTAACAACTGGTTTATTTGCTGTTCCAGAACCGAGAGTATTAGCTCCGAGGAGGAGGAGGACTGGCCCACTTCACCCATAATTCCAATTTTCGAACAATGTTAGTATCCAGCGACAGCCAGCAGCAGTAGAGCAGCAGGGTCAACAGCTGGACAACTGGAGCAGCGGACTAAAGAACCATCAACCAGACGCGATCGCGGCACACCAGCCTCCAGGAGATCAGGCACTAGACATATCCCCATCAGCAGCAGGAGGACGGAAGTCTCCGAAGAGGATGTGTGCCCGTGAGAGCGTTCCGCGTGCAAGTGTAGTAGTGCTGGTTGAGGTAGAGTGTGTATATTTTGCTAAAGTGCATCATAATTCTTTTGGCATACACACAAATGTGTATTTGGTAGCGCTGGTTCTAACATTTAAGAAACTATTGAGATACGGAAATGTGGGCGGCAAGGTGACGCAGTCACGCCCTTTCCCTTTTGAAAAAGTTACCCGAGAGTAGCGCCCCCACATTTTTTCGATTTATTTGCGGCAGACAAAAAAATACGTGAAAAAAAAAACAAAAGCAAAAAAAAATTTAAAAAAAAATTAAAACGAATGCTGCGGACCATCATACAAAAGATTGATGCCGTTCCGGATCATTATTCGAGATCAGTGAGAGAGAGAATACGATTTGAGAATTGCGAGCCCACGCCGAAATCCCGAACATCTGGAATGGGACAGCAGTTTTTTGTTGGTTGCGCTTGAAACCGTCAAAAAAAAATTCAAAAACCATAAAGAAAAACCTCCAACAAAAAGAAAATCCTTTCTACAGACCCCCTAAATAAGTTGTCAGTCTATGTTCTCTGTGTTTGTCCCGCTCTTATCAGTTAATGTAAAAGCCCCGAATCAATGGACCCAAAAAACCCTAAAAACACCAACAAAAATCATAAAATCTAAAAAAAAGTACAAAAGTTCTTTATGTATAGACCGACCTAAAAGATAAGCTAACAACAAACAAAAAAAAAAACACAAAAACAAAAACAAGGTCAGATCAGATTAATCAGTAATTTTAGCCGCGCTCAAACAATATGAGAAAGCCCATAGAAAAACTAAAGTATAATTCGCCGCCTGTATTGACTAAGAACTTAAACAATAATATAACATTAAACAAAGGTACGATGAAGCCACAATATGTAGTGTATGTCTAGTAGATTTTTCTCTGTATAACAAAATCGAAAACCAAACAAAAGCGAACTCAATTTCCGCCCTAGAAAATCAAACGAAGCTAAGTAAATTTGTTATTTCTACTCAATTGTTTATCTATGACTCGAACGATCAATCATTCAATCAACTGCAAGGCATTGAAATTTAGTTCGAGTACCACGGTGATCCTCTTTTTTATATTATACCTTCACTTATAGTGCACATGCTAAATCTAAATCTTCTTTTTTGTTATATAATATTACTTAACTTATTAAACGAAATGTAAACTGAAATCCATTCTTATGTTCTACCACGTACGAAACTACCCATTAAACCCTAGTTTAAAGCAAACCAGCGTTGAGACAAAGCCAAAATTCAATTCAAATTGAAGCGCGGCAAATTAGAAATCAGAATCAGAAATTATGATGCAACATTTAGCAAGATGTACCGAGAGAGAGAGAGAGAGAGAGGGTCGAGCGAAGAGTTTTAGAGAGCATAGGCAAACTAACGCAGAGCATAAAAGCAATTGAAATTTCGCGAATTCAGAACACTTTCTTTTTAATCCACTTGGCAGCGGAATGTGCAAACTCCTGTCTGTAAATTTGAATAAAATGCGTTTGCCCCCGCCACAGGGGCATTCAGATTTCACGAATATTTACAACAAACTCGCCTGTTTTATTTGACTTTGTTCGTGGCCACTTGCCCGGTGCCAGATGCAGTGCAGCGGCGACTCCGGCGAAATGTGAGTACACCACCACCATTTCCATAACCCCCGAACAGCTCCGATCAAATGTAAATAAACCCGGGCGACTTTGCTGTAAATATTCAAGTATCAAGTCAATATTCAATTAACAATTGTGCAATAGATTCTTTGTAATTTATTCTTTAGTAACTTTCTGAACCACAGCCTGAAGATCAGTTCTGTAGAAACAGAACCCGAATACATTGTTAACACAGTCGAACGCTGAAGCGAAGGCGATACAAATAATTATATTTAAGCGACAGAGATCATGATGTGTTCGTTTAAGCTTAGTCCAACTTTAAGTAACAGCCAATTGACGATTAAGCGATTAAGTGAAAGGTGAAAGCGGTGAAAATAAGTCTAGCACTAAGTTTTTCTACCATCGACTGCCACGGGCTGAGATTTCATAATTTTAACAACTAGCAAATTTTACATTGTATTTAGCGCGGAGTTAGTTAAATATTTGCAAGGATCAACATCAAAAACGTGAAGAAAAATCTCAATTATTGTAAAGTGTATGCATATTTAGTTTTTATTTGATGACTAGTTTTATTGATGCTGACGTTGGGTAATCGCCCATCGTCAAGTTTTGAGCTTATATTCGGTTGAGGTTTACATTTTTAGGATTAGTTACCACACGAAATGAATTCATACTGTACATTACGAACCACTCATTTTAATTTATTTTCAATTACAACCTGTAATTAACAATTAGATTACTTTAGGCGTCCACCAGAATCATTCTAAGCAAATGGATCATTGTGTAAAGAAATGTGGAACAAGTTGTTTGAAAACAGCTGAAGCTCGTGATTTAAATCATTGTACACATTACAACAAATAAATGGAAAAAAGTATTATTAAATGGTAAATGGAAAGTTGTGTTTTCTTTATCTTGCCCAATTATTAACTGGCATCGTTTAAAATGTTCAAAAATCATTAAACTCTGCCTGGATTGCTGAAATACTTTTTTAAAGAGAAACTAGTAAACCAAGTTCCCATTTTAAAAATTGACCGTTATATATATCGATTTTCATGGCAATGAATTCGAAACGTCGCGATAGGTTTTACAGTATGACCGTACGCCTTTCCTATCGATAGTCAACCCGATTACACAAAATAATCGTATAATGTGGAGCTTTAATTTAAATCAAAATCCACTGTGAACTTATGTTTGCCACTTGCAATATCTGAGTGTATTAAAATAAGTAAAGCATGTAATTTTGTTTTAATTTGGGGTATTTATATGGTATGTCTTTATTCTGAACTGGTATTTCTCTGCCAGCCCGGTGGTATTTTGAGCTCGGCCGCTCTGGTCACACTGCTCGAGACATAACCTTCCTTTTCCAATAATTTTTGTGCTGTGTACACGTGTTTTACAATGGCACCCGTCGAGAAAGCTAAAAAGGTGGCCAAGTCGGCCAAAAAGGGCAAGAAGCACCCCGTCAACTCCTACCTGAAGGGTGGCATCCTGCGTTACTCCAAGGCCCAGGTAAATATCGCCGGAAACAGTGGGGAAATGGCCTCTGGGCCGATGACGCCTCCGCCTGAAGAGATGGCGCTGCAGCGTGGTTTGCAAATAGTGCTCCGATCCGATGGGATTCGGTATTTACTCATCCATCGTAGGGTGTACCACGCACTGATCCTCCAACTTGTGTTAGTTTTACTTAAAAACTTAGTATTCGTCAGTGCGATTCCTGAAAAGTTCTGAAAAGTTTCCCGTGTGTCCAAGTGGCTCTAAGTACAAACCATGCATACTTTGCCTAATTGTTTACTCTCCCCATAAATAAGCTCAATAATGCTCAATACCCTTTCCTATCACTGTGCAACAGTTGTCAAATGCTTTGAAAAACTGATAAACCATTAGAACAGATTCACCTTCTAGTTGAAACGTTTATGGATCAAGGTAGTTAACCACATATCTAACCCATTTCAGATGTACAAACGTCGTGCCCTGTACCGCCTGAAGGACAAGAAGAGCCCCGTGGTGGAGAAGGTCAAGGTGCCCATCAAGAAGGTGAAGAAGATCGGAGGACCCAAGAACGGCGGTGAGCGCACGGTCTACCTGAAGAAGAGCAAGGCCACCTACCCGACCAAGACGTTCGTGAAGAAGCGCCCCGCCAAGGCCAACTTCAGCGAGCACAAGCGCAACACGCGCCGCAACCTGACCCCCGGAACCGTGCTCATCCTGCTGGCCGGACGCCACCAGGGCAAGCGCGTCGTCCTGCTGAAGGTCTTGGCCTCCGGACTCCTGCTGGTCACCGGACCCTTCGCCCTCAACTCGTGCCCGCTGCGTCGCGTGTCCCAGCGCTACGTGATCGGCACCTCCTCGAAGGTGGATCTCGGTGCCTTCAAGGTGCCCGAGCACCTGAACGACGCCTACTTCCGCCGTCTGAAGGCCAAGAAGGACAAGAAGAGCGGCGAGGCCGACATCTTCGCGGCCAAGAAGGAGCGCTTCGTGCCCAACGAGCAGCGCAAGAAGGACCAGAAGGAGGTGGACACCGCCCTGCTGAAGGCCATCAAGGCCCATCCCGAGGGCAAGTTCTTCGCCAAGTACTTGCAGAACATGTTTGCCCTGCACTCCTCCCAATACCCCCACCGCATGCGTTTCTAAGCGAGCGGATTTGGTTCTTCAGTTTAAGGATTTCTAAAGCAAAAACACTGTACAAGCGCGCCCGCTGGTTAGACTAACAGGATTTGTAAAATAAACCTTACAAAACGGAGTTTCTGTCTACTTTTTCAAAGACACAATTTCATTTTTCAAATCTTGAATAATCTCCAATAGTAGCATGGTTTACGAGGATCAATTTAAAGTAGTTCATTTTGGTTAAAACGTAATCTTCCGTTTTCTAAAATTTTATTTCGTTGATCCTAGAAACTATAAAATAACAGCTGAGAAGCTAAAATTCTAAATCAGTTTAACATATTTGAGTCAAGTAAAACTTCAATTTATCCTAGCGCTAATTCTAAGTGCTGATAATATTTGAGCTCTCTTTGTCCTCTGCTATAGGATCGGGGTACTCCGGCTGCAAGTGCAGTGCGGCCAGGAGTTTCCGCCTGCCATGGACGTACCACAACATCTCTCGGTAGGATCGCGGGAGGACTTCGTCCACAACCTTGTCCGCCCGATAGGTCAAGTAGAAGACATTTGTGGTCTGCACTTTGCCGCTCTTGGCATCCCAAATCTGCGCCACGGTCATCAGCTGGACGTAGTTCTGGGCGGAGTATACAACGTGGGCGGTGAGCTGGAGGAACCGATCAACATGCACTGGGTGCATAAAACTGATGTCCGATATGCACGTGAGGATGGGCCGATCGCCCAGGTAGATGCTAGCCATTATGAAGCTGATTTCAACGGCCTGGCGCATGAGGTAGCCTCCAAAGATGGTGTTCTGCGCATTTCTGTTCTCCGGAAACGGAGCAATCATTGTGGACTGCATAGAGTCTTCCATCCAGCGGCATTTTGGTGGCAGGACACGCTTATTAAGATCCATTCTGTTCGCTGGAGTGGTTCTCTTAAGGATCTCGTACATGATGGCCTGTTCGTGCTCCCTGGGAGGCGAGTTGAACACAGAATCCATGGCAGAAGCCTTGCGCACCTTTTGCCGCTTCTCCGCCTGCTCCCAAATGATCTTCTCGGTGTCATCCCCAACCTCTATAGGATTAATGGGAGCCGGTCCCGTGTTGGTGGCATTTCTGGCCACCATCACAAAGATGGCTTTTGTTACATCAATATATTCGCCATGGGCCAACTGCTTCACATAGATGGTAATCTCCATAGAACTCCGCCCCGCCCACGAGATGTGACCACTGATCTCGATGTCCTCGTTGACCTGCAACCGCTCCAGATTGGTAAACTCCACTTTGTCGACAAGCAGCGTGACAAAGGTGTAAGGCAAAGGCACTCCTTTCGGCAGCTTGGGAAGCTTCACATGACGATGGCAGATCCATACAGCAAACATGTCCAATTCCTCCATAATCCTGCCCAACCTCACCCTTCCCAAGTGGTTCACGTAGGTCTCGCGGATTAGCTCACTGGAGCTTAGGGGCAGAATGGCAGTAGTATGGGAATCCAGCATAGTTCTTGGTGGGAGCTCCTCTCTCTTCGGCTGGTGCTGCAGGAGATGATCACGGGGCTTGGGAATAGTATGGTAGCCCACGTCCACGCCGGATTGCTCGCGAATGATGCGAGCCACTACGGGGAGTAGAGGTGTCAGAGAGGTTCCAAAGCGAACATAGATTCTGATTTACCTTCCACCATTGTGCCAGAGCGATGATCTGACTTCACCTTGGGTCCGTTCTCTAGCGTATAGCTCCTGGGCATCTGTTGGCACGCAAAAGCAGTGCAGTTGGTGGCCAGCAGTCGCCTCCGCCGGGCAGTCGACCAGTAGCTCCTCCTCGACAGCGCCGTTCCAAGTCCCCGTGCCAACCGACACAGCATCATTTCCAGGTGATTCGGTATCCGGGGCCTACTGGGGATCCAATGGCATGAATTTTTGTAGGAAGTCACTTGCAGGCACTTGGGCGTAGTTCCCACTTCCTAATACGTAATACGGTTCAGCTCGATCGGATTTACATGAAGTGCTTTCACTTGGCCTGCAAAATAGAGAGTGATTCTAGACCCGAGTAGAGCTACAGCGTTGGCAAATATTCCGCCGATGTGCGATTACATGGCTCTCAGGCGACTGAGAACCCGCGCATGGCGATCACCTGTCCACTTGGTGAGAGATCTGCTGCTTGCACTGGGAGAAATAGCGCAAGTTGTCGGGGGATTGTGTATATTATAATCTTATGAGGTTTGAAGTATTATATCTTTTGCAGAATTTTAAATGATTTTATTTTTGAATTTTACGATCCCATAAGATTGAGTTGGCTATCTATTTGAGTACATTTTTGGGCTTTTCCATTTATTATCAGCAGGCCCATCCTGTTTTTCTGTGCATCTACTCAAACCTACAATCTAATCTGAGCAAAGGTGTAAAGATGATGTTATGGAAAAATGCCAGACTAATGGAGGAGATGGAAAATTTTACACTACATTTTCGGTCCGATTGGACAGCAAAAATATTACCAAAAATATGTTTTCTATGTAACAATTGGGACTCAATCTAATCTACAGAGTGGGAGTAGGCTGAACTATCACGTGTGTGCCCGGAACATTGGCAGTGGTCATGATCTTCACGCAGCTAGGAATTCGAAATAAAAGCCGGGGCCAAACTACGCGCTTTTCAATTTCGATAAGGAACAGAGATTTTGGTTCAGAAAATATCATCTGGGCACAATTCAGTGTCTTTTTGTACATTAGGCTTAAAAAATATTAAACGAATCGTGTCTTGAGTTGCAGACTTTGACCCTATTGGAACTCAACTCTTAGGGCTCAACCCTTGTTGGCCTTGAACTTGCGGCGACCATGGATGTACCACATGGTATCGTGGTAGGAGCGAGGCAGCACTTCAGTAACCGGCTCTGGAGCGGAGAAGGTATAGTGGAACGCGTTGGTGGTGACGCGGCTTCCCGTGTATGCGTCCAGGACTTCGGCAACGGTCATGATCTGCAAATAGTTCTCCTCGGTGTACACCACATACGCGGTCATCTTCAAGAAGCTATTCACGCTGACGGGCTTCTGGAAACTAATGTCCGAGATGTGCTCCAGTTTGGGCCGGGCCTTGCAGTAGAGGAAAGCTGTTGCCCAGCTAATTTCCTGGGCACTGCGCATGAGGAATCCCCCAAAGACAGTGTTGTTTTGATTCCTGTGCTCTGGAAATGAGGGAATGGTGCTCATCTGGAAGGAGTCGTGCATCCAAACACAGTTGGGAGGCAGGAGGCGCTGCTGGTCCCTTTGCTCGATGGGAGCAGTCCTTTTGTAGAGCTGGTATATAAGAGATTGTTCCTCGGCGTTGGGTTCCTCTTTGAAGACAGACTGCTCGCTGAGTACCTGTCGTTTCTTTTTTCTATCTGCCCCGCCAGCTAGAATGAGCTTCTCTTCGTCATCGACAGGCTGTATAGGATTCACTGGAGCCGCTGCTGTGTTGGTGGCATTTCTAGCCGCCATTAGAAACAGAGCACGCGTGATATTCTGATTTTCGTCATTGACAACCTGCTCCAGCCATACCACCACCTCCATGGAACTGGTTCCCACCCAGGAGACATGGCCGGATAGGCGGATGTCCTGGGTGCCTAGGGGTGCGACACTGGTGAAGTCGATTCGGTCCACCAGGACCGTCACGATGGAGTACGGTAGAGGTACTCCCTCCGGCAGATTGGGGACTACCAGGTGCCTATGACAGCACCAAGCTAAGAAGAATTGAGAAGCAAATAATTCAACAAGATCGCCTTGGTCAAAATAGATAGTACCGGCAAACAGGTCCATGTCCTCCAGAATTCGGCCAATGCGCACAAAGCCTTTAAAGTTGATGTACTTGTCCTGCAGTACTGCATCCGTGCTCAAGGGAATGATGGCCGAGGAATAGGAATCCTGCATAGATCGTGCGGGTAAGTCCTCAAACTTGGGCTGGTACTTCAGTAGTTCCTCCCTGGACTTCGGCTGTATGGAATACCCAGGCTCCAGGCCGAATCTTTGCATCATCTTCACCTTGACTGTGAAGGGACAGGTGCACAACTAGTACTTATTTCAAGTGGAAGTACTTACTCTCCGCAATGGTCAAGTATTGTTTGTCTGGAGAGCTGCTGCGTCTATTGGAGCTGGAAGAAATGTAGCTTTTAAAATTCGATTCCTGCTAGTTGTACTGGTGTTTCACCTGGAATTCATAATTGTTATCTTCCTGAGCATCCTGCCCTTTAGAATGCCCCGGCAGCTACGGGCTCCGAGCAAAAAAGGCATAATATAGAACTTGATAAACCTAAGACCAGGGCTATTGAAACGGATCGGGATCTTAATCCGCATCCAAAACGAAATTAAAACTATAAATTTTTGTTCAGTTTTTTTCTTTTTGATTACAGGGTGTTATATGGTAAAAAAAGTAATGTCGGCAAAAATTAGGGAGTATTTTGACAGTTATTATATTAATAAAAATTTAATCTAGTGTTCTTCGATAGGGATTATTAGAAGATTTGAATACTTATAAACTGGTTAAGCACTTCATTGAACGATAGACATTTATTGCTTTTTATAAACACGGATTGGTAATTGCTTTTATCTGGTAGCATAGCCCTGCATAATATCTTTAGGAACAGTCATAGGCATGTGGATTGTCTACGCTGGAGTCCTGCTGGCCTCAAACTTCCGACGACCTTGGATGTACCACATAGTTTCATGGTATGAGCGAGGCAGCACTTCGGTAACCGTATCCGGAGACGAGAAGGTGTAGTAGAACGTGTTAGTGGTCACCTGGTTTCCCGTCTGCGTATCCAGCACATCCGCAACGGTCATGATCTGCACGTAGTTGTCCTTCGTGTACACCACATATGCGGTCATCTTGATGAAGCTATCTACGCTTATAGGCTTCTTGAAGCTGATGTCGGAAATGTGCTCCAGTTTGGGTCGCGTTTTGCAGTAGAGGTAAGCTGCTGCCCAGCTGATCTCCAAGGCACTTCGCATGAGGAAGCCCCCAAAGACTCGGTTGTGGTGATTCCTGTGCTCCGGAAATGAAGGAATCGTGCTCATCTGAAAAGAGTCCTCCATCCAGCGACAGTTTGGCGGAAGGATGCGCTTGTTGAGCTCCAAAGTGTTGGTGGGAGTGGTCCTTTTGTACAGCTCGTACATAAGTGTCTGCTCCGGATCATTGGGTTCCACCTTGAAGATGGACTGAGCAGAGAGAATCTGTCGTTTCTTCTTTCTATCTGCGCCGCCAGCCAGGATCACTTTCTCTTCCTCATTTGCCGGCTGTAAGGGGTTCACAGGAGACGGTCCCGTATTGGTAGCATTTCTGGCTGCCATAAGGAACAAGGCACGGGTTATCTTTTGGTACCTTCCGTCAACCATCTGCTCCAGCCACACTACCACCTCAATGGAACTGGTTCCCACCCAAGAAACGTGACCAGACAAACGGATATCTTCGGTTCCTGAAGCCAACACATTGGTGAAATCGATGCGGTCCACCAGAATGGTCACAAATGTGTACGGCAGGTGAACTCCCTCCGGCAGATTGGGCAGAACCAGGTGCTTATGACAGCACCAAGCTGGAAATAACGGATAATAAGAAAGTGCGCAAGGATTTCAATATCAGCGATCGTGTTCCTCGTACCAGCAAACAAGTCCATGTCCTCCAGCAGTCGGCCAAAGCGCACATTGCCCAGATAGCTTACATATTTGTCCTGCAAAGTGCGGTCCTTGCTTAGAGGAAGGATGGCCGTGGTGAATGAATCCTGCATGGCTCTTGGAGGCAGATCCTCCAGCTTTGGTGTGTACTTGAGCAGCTGCTCCCTGGACTTGGGCAGCGCATGGTAGCCGTGCTCTAGTCCCAATCGTTGCATCATGCCCTCCTTGACTGCAGAAGTTCGGGAATTAGGATGTGTTTGACTCTGGTAAAACAACACTTACTCTCCCCCATGGTTCCGGAATCATTGGCAGGCTCTGATTGCTTAATATGGGTGGGCGGTGAGTAGTGACGTCTGCTGGAGATTAAAGTACTCATATAACAAATAAGCTCAGTAGTCCACTTCACTTTTTGTTCTTACCTGGACTTTGCAAAGAATGCTGGCGCCTGTTTGGGGGCGAATTCCATAAGGTTCCTGGTGCGGATCAGGCTCCAGCACTTTTGTGCTCCCATCAAGGAACGCAGCATCTTAGTTTTACCAGTTTTCTCCTTGTTTTTCAAGTTACAAATGTGTAACCTGTCTTTGATCTAACCCCAAATGAAAATCAGCTGGTCGTCGCCACAGCTGACCGGCACAGTGGGCTCGATAACATTCGTCTCAAACTAATTTCAAAGTGTTCGGTTCGATTAGTTCGTGGATGAACTTGCTCCTTTCGACTTGAAACAAATTCGTCCATAAATAATTGCTTTAAAATTGTAGAATTTCGATACAAAACCAAATCCCCCAGTTTAGAAAACCTTTATAAATCTTTTTCTTTTCAATATTCCATCTTTTCGATCCCACTGTGTATACAGTGTATGCTAGCATATGACGTCATCGAGATTGTTGTTAATTTTAAACTGGGAATCAAAATTCCGTAGACAATATTTCTCAAATTAACACATCGTTTTGTGCTTCATAAACTATTAACGTACGGGAATTGAACCGTTTAAATATTGACTAATTGCTACAAGGCAGATATAAAAGAAATGATTAAAATTAAAATAAAAAATAGCCCACGTTTGTATAAACTATATTTGGAGGGGTATTCGCTGATATTTACAAATTTCTGACCATTTAAAAGTATCTTCAACCAAGAGCAATTAACGCGGATATTCCACGAATAAAAGTATAAATTATGGCAAAACTCTACGCTTACAGATTTAGTTCCTTGAGCGCAAAGTTCAAAACCACCGGCAAAAGGCCAGCATCTTCCAGATCCAGGATCTGTTGTCGAAGGTTCTCCAATGGATGGGAATGTATCATCTGCAAGAAAATTTAGAGTGACTATAGAACATTTCATCAAGTGCGCGGTGGTGGTGTGAGCAAACCTTCTTGATCTTCTGCCGTTGCTCGGTGCTCTGGCAGAAGCTAAGTAGAGCGGCGGCCATGTGGGGTCGATGGACGACGATGCAGTGCTGGGCGAACTGCAGTAGATTGAGGGCGTGCACCACCGGACAGCCCTGCAGACGCAGCAGCGTCTTGTTTAGCAGCTCTTCCTGCTGAAAGGAACGTGTCTCGACTGCGTTCTTCAGAGGATAGCAGAGCACATAGTCCCAGGCCTGGGCCAGTCCATCCAGGTGAAGCAGATGAGGCCGGCAGCTGAGTACATCCAACAAGGCGTTCAACTCGCGCACCATATGAAACATGACCATGCGCTTCAGAATGCCGTTCCAGATCTGCGGCAGGTGTATATCAAAGCCCAGGCAAATGTTGGCCATCACCTCCAGGGAAAGAGGATTCTGCGCATTACGCTGCCAGATCATCTTCAGAATGTCAATCTTGTTGCAATGGTCGTCGGAGAACTTTTCCAGGTTGGACTTGTAGCCCAGAGCCTTGAGCTCGTGCACACACTTGATGCTAATGAACTGGCGCTGGCTGACCGTGTTGGTAAAAGAGTTGCTGCCATCGTTTAGCTTGGAATAGCACTCGTACATTTGCAGCTGTGTGGAGGTGTTTACCGAGCTGATGGAAGTGTATACAATGAATTTCTTCTGTTAACTTTTAAATACCAATTCTTACCCGCCCTTGAAGATCAGACCCACAAGGAACTTGACTGCGTCCGCCTTTGGCCAACTGGAAAGTATGTAGAACGCTCTATTCACGTTCTCGCTGGCGTCCTGGCTGCTTGAACCGTCCGCGCCGTTAGTCTGCTCCGGCCAGTTCTGCTCCTCCATGAAAGTCTCCTCCAAAATGGTACCGTCAGCCGCCGACTCCATAGTCAGTGAGAGCCACTTCTGAAGCAGGCGGTACTGAATGGTGGTTAAGCACAGGTCATGCAGCTTGGCTATCTCCGCGACCAGGGCGTTAATATCCACCTTGCTGCACTTAAGGATCAGCTCGTGGTGGTAAAGCGCATTGATTAGCTCGGTGGGGTTCTCAACCAGGCGCAGTAGCTTTTCATCGGTCAGGCCATAGACATACAGCAAGTGCTGGGTCTTCTGGATAGGATACCGTCGCTTCACCTTGGCAACCTGATCGCGACTCTTTGGGTCAGTAATCAGGTGGCCCTTCTCCTTGACAAACTTCCAGCACTCGTAGGAGGCCTCCACCTGATCGGCTCCATCACGAGCATAGTTGGACACGAAGTATAGTATTAGAAATGCCTTGTTTGGGCTGTTCACTTTCTCGACCAGCCGTAGTATTGACTGCAGAAAAGCATTATTCGTGGGATGAAGACTCCAGGAATCCGATTCATTTTTCGACTTGTACTCCGATATCGAGTTCTTTACTGCCGACATGCAGAAATAGTCACAGTTCTGGGAGCTATCCTTGGATCCCTTTAAGGCCGTGTACATCTGAATCAGTGGAAACCAACTTTGGCAGTTGTCCACGTTTAGTTCGCTGTCTGAATAAAAGAAGCGTAAACCAGAATTAAATAGAAACCTAAAGCCTTAACAAATTTCTGCTGAATATACCAAGAATATCCTTAAGAGGTTGCTCTACGATGGGCTTAAAAGGCAGGCGATATCGTGATATCTTCGGCATAACGCCATTTTCCCTTTGTGATTTGAGCCACATGTCGGTCTCCACCTGACCGGGCCGATTGCGTCTTCTGGTGATCATCTTGTGTCTCAGGAAGTGCAAAATGTTCATCCAAATTTCCATTTCCTTAGGAGCCGAATCGAAGTACATTAGGATGTTTATCACACACATGTACAACTCGTAGAAGTAAATGTTGATCTAAACGATTTTAAATAGTGAAAAAAATAGAATATAATATATTACGAAACCACAGATTATTTGAAGCATTAGTGAACTTACGCCATCAATAAAGTGCTTTAACTTGGAAGTAAAGAGCTCGACGTTACTGATTTCATTAATGTACGGTTGGCACATATCGCGCATTTCCTGGGCGCTGCTTTGCATAACCAGTTCCTCGTCCCCGAAGGTATCCCTCTTCACATCGAAGCGTAGCTCCTGGGCACTCAAAATGCTTATTATCTGGGTAATAAGTATCTTCTGATAGTCGAAGCCAAAGTCCTTGCTCATGCGTTTCAAAAGCTGAACGTCAAGTTGCTTATTGTGAAACTCCTTTAGCAGATCCTCTACGTTGTCCATGTCAGCATTGAACTTGCCCTTTATTCTTTGGTCCTGCTGGCAAAACTCCAGGTAATAGTAGAGTTTCAATCTCCTGCAAGCCAATAAATCGGATTTTAACATGTAGAATAT